GGGCCCCCTGCACCCCAAGGGCCCCTGGGCAGCGGCCCCGCTGGCCCGGTCCATAATCCGTCCCTGGTCCTATCATCAATAGAACCGGCAAGCTCCTTTTAAAAACCAGCTGCAATATTCTTCGGCGTATCATACCTTTGGTTTTTGTTAATAGGCAATAGCATTAGTATACCGCTAACCCACCAAAACAACGAGACAGTCAGTAATTCTCACAGCAGCGGAGTCGGTGACCTCCAAAAAAACCGTAAAACCCACAATACAGTCGTGTTTATGTCTTATGTTTTTGTGCTTATTACATTTAAGTGTTTGCAAAGATTAATCCCACATCAGTAATAAAATAAAAGTCTTGCTTTAACATAAATACTAAAAGAATAGATCGCTTTAATCGCTGTTACAGTTGGGTATGGGCACGCGGTCTTATCTAGAAAACATACAAAAAGAGATGCATATAATGTTTAATCATTCGTTTTGTATTTGCCCGAGTAACAAAGCAAAGGAATGATAAGCTGCTTCAGTCGAAAACTGCATTTTACTTCTCATTTAAAATAAAATGCAGGGTTGGCAACTTTGGTCAGCTGCATGGAGTGAGATTTTCTGTTCTCTGTTCTGCACACACATTTACATGTATGTAAGTTTTATTACCTTGTAAATAGTCTGTAGGGTTTGCAAACTAATTTTAAGCTAATTTTATGCAGCTAATTTCAAGTTCAGAATGGAATATAGATTTGCCGTAAGATTTCTTGCGTGAGAGTCTGAAAGTGTTTGCAACCATGAACACGTACATTTTTTGTTTCACCTGAATTGATTTGTATAGAAAATAACCGTATACAGTTGTTAAAAAGCGGAAACTTCGACCAACATGAAATCACCAATAAACGACTTCTATTTATTCAACATTTTATAAAATGCATACTACGTTTAAAAATGTCCAGCTTTACGGTTTCAGGACAGAACAGCCACTCTGTCATGAACATTATGGTTTTTTGAGTGTTATTATAGTGTTAATAACAGCAGCTAACAACACAATAGCGCAGACAAAAGGGCTGCATACATCGAAGTAGTTCTTTCTTGTTCATTGGCGTGGGAAAAGGCGGTCCTAGTGTTATTAGAAGGGTAATAAGCGTTACCTGCAAGATCGCTATTTTTCTTTTTGCTGCAATTGTTTTCATTATTACTTTATTTAACTTAGACCAGAGCATGAGCAGAGTGGAGCGGTGAGAATTTCCGCTCCTCGCTCACGAGGCTGTTGGCTCCGCCCGCTCCTCAGCTCTAATTCGCACTAAGTCGCTCCGCTCAACACCGCTCCTCGCTCCACTAAAATTTCCTCCCGCTCCAGTCAAATCGCTCCATGCTCGCTCCAATTTAAAAGAGGGACAAATAATCTGCATGCCTAACAAATGTCACCTTAAACCGATGCCTTATATCATAAAGAAATGTGAGCAACGGCACTCAGAACAGAAAATATTTATTTTTAAACAACATATAGGCAACAATTAACGGACAGGTTTGGCAATGGCATTCCACACAAAATAGGCTTTAAAATAAAGGAATCAGTGGGCTTAATAGCCTAAAGAATATACAGGCTAAGCGCATCCACGTTTTAAATTCCTGTTATTTTCTGTTGATGCTGCTGCTCTATAAAATAAAATTTCACTGGCAGCGTTACGTAAATTTAAAAAATCCTGTTAAACCTAATTTGAATGACAAACAAATTTATTTGATTACCAAATTATAGGCTTTTATAATTTTATTTACTTTATAGACTTGATATGCTACAACCATATGAATTCTGGGAAGATTTGCGCACGCCTCAGAGTCGTAGTGTGAGCGGTATCGGAGCGAAATTGGAGCGAGACAGAGCGACCGCTCCAGCCTTAATTAAAAAACCGCTCCGCGTTCTGACCAAATTTCGCCCGCTCCTTGCTCACGCTCCGCTCCACTCCGCTCACATGCTCTGACTTAGACCAATTAATACTGATTGTATCTCATGCTGCTTCATATGTTTTAAAATTACTACACACTGAATATTGAACTGAAGCTTGACATAAAAAATTAAATCGCAAATCAAATCTTGCAAGGGCTCGAGTTGTGGGGTCCTCCTGGACTGTCTGAGCCAGTATATCACCTCATCGACTAGTCTGAGGTACGCCACCTCAGTAAGATGAGGTGTCTTCTTGTTGAGTCTGGTCATTCTGTCACGAATTGCAGGCACAGAGCAGGGATCGGAATGATTGGGATGTGACACATTGTCATTCTTGATATTATATAATTATTATTATTATTTGCATAACTTCCTTAAATAAAACTTCCTTGATTATATGGGATTCTGAACCACATTTCTGTCTCCAGGTCATTTCTGTGACACACTACTTTTTTCTAATTTATCCATTTTGGACATTGATCTTATTTGTCACCAGTCTTCGCCCTTATTGTTTTGCTTTTAGGCCCACTATTCTCACCTTGAACAACCATTTGAAGTCTCTTCAAATCAGAAATTTTTCCATTTTCTGTTACAGTTAAGACAACTGGTTAGATATTTTATCCTGTCCTACTTCATTTGCAGAGTTCATCATCTGGTCATATATATACTTCATGGCCTAATTTGCAAGATCATTTCAGTATTGAATTACTGTTCACTTGACATGAGAGATTTCTGTGAAATTCCACCTGTAGTAAGTCAGTCATTACCTCTGCCAACTACTACAACCTTTGAAGTGAGAGAAATAAGTTTCTCTGGTTTACAGTAATTTTTCAAAAAACGGAATTGAATTACTGTACACTCATGGTTGGATATTTCAGATAAATTCCACCTGTAGTAAGTCAGGGAGCAACTCTGGCAACTACTACCTCCTTTGTAGTTAGAGAAATTCGTTTCTCTGGTTTATAGTAATTTTCCAAAAAAACCTATTGAATTACTGTACACTCATGGTTGGATATTTCAGAGAAATTCCACCTGTAGTAAGTCAGGGAGCACCTCTGGCAACTACTACAACCTTTGAAGTGTAACAAATTGGTTTAGTATGAATGTGAAATTATTGCAAATTCACAGATGTTTGTATTAGAAAATCTTAACAGAAATGCTCCAGTAGCAATGCTTGGTTCTCCAGAATGCACTTTGCACTTTGTAGACGGTCCCTAGCAAAAGGCTGCACTTCCAATGCTGGCTTATTAGTTCAGCAGAAAATGCCTCGTCACTACAATAATTAATTGTCTTTTGTGATTTTTGGTGGTGTCGTTTAAAAGATATAGCGGAGGCAAATTAAAATATGAAACGAATATCGAATATAAAACCAACTTTACCACGCTCAGAGAAAAAATCCCAGCAATACCATACTGTCGGCATATCACTGATGTTACACTTTATCAGCAATGTCAAACCTGCCCCCGTAACACGCAAGCGAGGCCATCAGAGAAAAACCCCAGCAATACCGTAGTGTCAGCATATCACTAGTGTTACACTCTATCAGCAATTTCAAACCACTATCTGTAGGCATGCTGCTACGGGGCTTTTCTACACGAAATACCGCGTAATGTGTTGTTGGTGAGCTAAGAAGTGCTACTGAGGATCTTCTCTGTTTACGACCATTAAGCCCAGTTCACACTTCACTTTGCCACATGTCATTATGGTCAGTGCATGGTCTACATACATAATGCACTTATCAGTCGACACAGACAGTCGTGGTGCACAAGTACAGCAATGAAATTCCACCAGAATAGGGGAAAATCATTTTCTCGCACATATACTGTCGACCCGTCCTGACTCACAAGAAGTCCAATAGATCCAAAATCTGAGTTGCACACTCCACATGGGCATAACTAAATTTACGTTGCTTGCATTGTCATCAAACTGTATGAAAGAAATCAATTGTTTGGTTTTTTTCTGATGACATAAGACAGCTCAGCTGCCTATTAACAGACACCTTTCTGTTAAACATGTTCAAACTGAAGCCTTAGTCTGACCATAATCTAATGAGTCCATGAGGATGTATTTATTTTTTATTGAAACAGAAACATCCGTCCCAGAAGACAATGTATTGTCCAGTCTTTCTTAATGGATATCAGCAGTGTACAGGTCAGCCTGCTTTGTCCAGCTGTATGCTGTGAATATAAATTTTAAATGTATCTTTGAATTAAGTAACTTATAATTCCAGCACACAGGAAGTCAGTCTTTACATTAATCATCATCCTTTTACCTCAGATGAAGTTAATATTGAACACCGGCAAAACTTCTGTTTCAGTTTTCGAAGACAATAGGATTTGTGAAAGTTAAAATAAGATGCATTCTTTGAAAGGTTTTTGTCCTCATAGCTTGACTGAGAGTCTGATTGTTTTAAACAGTGTGTTTAAATGCACATTTACCTCTGATCTGTAGGAAAAGGTCCCTTTCTGAATTCAATTGGGGGCCTCATCGACTTGTCACTCTTCATGGAAACACAGCTGGGTGCAGGTGAGTCTGCTCTCTCCATCAGGACACTGTGGACAGAGAGAGGAAACAAATCCTCATTATATAAATATAATTCATTTAATGTGGGCAGCATCACATTAAATCTTCAGCAAAGTCTCATAGATGACAGTATTTTTGAAAGTTAAAAAACATGCATTCTTTAAAGTTATATTCCTCATAGCTTGTGTGTCTGTATGCATTTTGAATGAGAGTCGGAGTGTTTTAAACAGTGTTTGTTTAAATGCACATTTACCTCTGATCTGTAGGAAAAGGTCCCTTTCTGAATTCAATTGGGGGCCTCATCGACTTGTCAACCTTCATGGAAACACAGCTGGGTGCAGGTGAGTCTGCTCTCTCCATCAGGACACTGTGGACGGCGAGAGGAAACAAATCCTCATTATGTAAGGAATAAGTGACGACGGGCCGTTGAATTATTAGAAAAATAATGCACACCCGAGGTGGTGATGCGGCCACGACGCGAAGCATTATTTTTCTAATAATTCAACGGTCCGGAGTCAATTATTCCGCTTATACTACGGTTGCCACACCTCAAGACATCGATCAGAT